GAATAGGGAAGGTGTAGACAGTAGAAGCAGTGCGAGCCTTTTCGCAGCAGAGGCCAACTCTCTACTGCAGAAAACATTGTAATTAAAAGGACACGACACGGATCCGAGGTAACTTGTAAACGCAAAAGAAAGACTTGGTTTATGGTTTTACATAATATAGAACCAGTGAATTCAATGCTCAGTGATTATGTTACTCATCTCCGTCTATCATGAATGAGGTGTCATGTGGTAATGAAAAAATGCATGCTAATCAACCACCAGTTTCAATAAGATTTTCGCGTGGGGATACCGCCTTTCAACAATTGCACCTAATTGGATTTTACAAAGATGCCGCTGCGTGCAGATGCACTTTTGAAAATGCTCAAAAGTTGTTGATGATTGATATGTCCGTAGACTTTATTTTGTGCTTCCTCCCACTTTTCTTTGAGCTAGCTATATCCGATAAACAAACTCTGCCGTGGTATCGTGTTTCATATTGTTATGCTAATCAGAAGTTTTCAGAATTTCTAACTATGGACGAAGACGAAGACGGTGGAATAGACGTTGTTGGCTTAGTAGCAAATATAAATTCGTGCGTTTGTGCTGTAATATCCTCATGCCTCAATACCTACATCATAGCAGCAGTACTGAAGAGTAGAATCAAGGCTAAGCTCGGCCTTTACAAGTGGTTGATGGCTGCCGTGTCTACATTTGAAATTGTGTACAGTATATTGTCGGCAATTGGCTGCCCGGCAAGTGCTTAAGATTTTTTCAAAGAAACTAAAGCATTACCAAAGTATTGAAGATGCTGACAATTATATCGCATCCGCGCTTTGAAAGGACGTAAATAGATATACGCCTTACCTATCCACTTCATCCACTTCGACAAATGATGTATCAGTAATGCCGCGCTTTGTTAAGCAGAAGGAGTGGCTGAACTGGATTGGTGGATGTGTGTCGTGTGCAACAAGCCGTAATTTAGATTTTGTTGATTGCGGACTATTTTTCTTTGAGAAGTGCTGAAGATGCAGGTCTTGTGACATCTGGACCCGTAGTAATCCACCCTACCTGCCGGCATCTCATACCCTCAGCTCGCCCTGATGTGGACTTGAAGTCCCTAAAATCTCAAGCTCCCTCCGAAGACCCCCAACCCAGGCTGATCATCTGTTTTTTATGTTACGGTCTAGTTTTGCTGTCGAAATAGTATGAGAATTGAAAGAAAATCCAAGAAATGTCCTCGTTTGCAATTTGTTTGGCTCGAAGTGTGAACCTGCCGGCAGGTTCACGATCTCTTTTCGTCGAAACTTGAGATGCCATCTCGCCCTCAGCCTGCCGGCAGGTCGGAGAGTGCACGAAATAGTGTGTTTTTTGGTGGAGTGCAACCTGCCGGCATGTGGACGTGCCCCTACCACGTCCAGATGCCGGCACCTTTGACGACGGCGTCTGTGAAATTGCGTCGCGCGGCAATATCACACAACTTACGTCAAGCAGAAGAATCAGGAAAATTCATTTTCTATCAAAAAACCATGATTTTTATCATTATATGGGTTTTTCCTTGTTCAGATTCTTGATATCTCTGTAGAAAAAATAAATGATTTTATCATATAACCAAAAAGAGCGCCATCTTCTTCTTGCAATTCCTTTGATCTTGTTTGCCTTTCGCCTGCCTCTTGCCCTTATCAATCAGCTGTTCTTTCAGGTCAATGTCTATCACGCAATGTATTGATCTTGCGCTCTCACAGACGCGGCTTTTCTGTGCATTTTGTCATTGCTGCCGCACACAGCAAAAAACTGACCGCGTAGTTGAATGGTTAGTGCTGCGGCGCTCAAAGTTGACACATGCAGGTTCGAATGCGCTTGATGTAAGTGTTTTGCGGCTGCCTGCGTTGTTAAAACTTCATGCCCATTTGACTGCGGAGTACGGGTATTTGAAATTATCGGAACGATCAAGGCGAATGAGACGTTAATCTCGAGAAGTACAAAAAAGGAGAGAAACTTATCAAAAAGCGAGAATCTAAAGCAAGATTTGCCTTGCGCCCGAAACACGAACATGCCGCGAGGTTCGCGAACTTGCCGGCATCTTTGATGCCCCCTGGTAGGATAGATTACTAGGGCCCTGTTGTAGTTAATAGCAACCAACAGGAGTTGCACATAATGTCGGTGCGTTTTATAGGTATTTGGAGGGTAGGGGACTCACAGAGACCACTACCCAAATCATGCAGTTCTCAGTAAGCAGATCCGAAGTAGGCTAATTTGAAAAAGAGGCCTGGGCTCTCATCCATACGAATTTACATCAATTTCTTAGACATTGCAGCATATGTCATGCACTATGCATATCGAATGGTGTCATATCGTTGACTGTTCTTGTAAATAAGGCATTTGCCGCTTTATAGCGTATAATTGTTTGCAGTCCGTCAACTTGTACGCATCAGTAAAACCTCTTCAAGCGCGATTCCGGAGCAGAGCTTAATGTTGCCACGTATCTCTGAACTTCAAGACTTTGCCTCAACACTGCAAAAACATTTCCCTACCATCCCGAAAGCAATATCTTGCTTGTTCCTGTGCGACTGCGCCAAAACCTATAATACACTTCGCCATTCAGACATGGATATATCTCCTTTCCATGTTTAAAATTTAGATGTGCTTCTCTTTGTATGTATAGCTATTGTTGGACGAACGTGAAAACTTGGGGACGCGAGTGCTGTTTAGAGCGCATGAGCGTAGATTACGGTGAAGCCAAAAAGAAATCAAATCAAATATGACAATCGGTATTCTTATTATTCTTATTATTCTTCAAAGTACAATTTGAGCGTTTTGTTGTATCAGCTTGCATGCCATATGTCAAAAAAGATTTGCGTTATTAAAGCGCGAAACACATTGTGTCCCCAGAATGTATCAAACGTTTGACCTTCAATAATTTCTTTATTGGAAAGCTTTCGCGGATTTTTGGGTGCTATTTGATAGGATAGCTCAACTTAGATTTACAGTATAGAGCGGATCACCGGTCTCTCTTAGTTACTGTAGGATACGGTATAATTTTCGACTAATTTTAAGCTTCTGGCAGATGAGAAGCCAAAAAAGAACCGAAGGACGCCAAACTAACGTTTCGAGGGTGAGTCGCAAAGTTTTCCGCTACCGTGCTTTTCGGCTTCTTAAGGTATGCGCAGTGTAACGATGACTTTTGTCTTTCTTCCAAAATTTACTGAATTCAACGTTGCCTTTGCTAAGCAAACTTCAGTCGAAACTTGAAGACTTCCTCATTCTTTATCAATTGCAGACAATAAGTGCAAAAAATTACAAAATCAGGTTTTAAACACATAATGATATGATTTGACTGATTTGATTGAGTTTCGACTCGTTTGTAACTGTAACGTTGATCTAGTAAATTTTGGAAAAAAAACCAAGAATTCAGCGTTACAGTACGCATACCATAAGAAACCGAGGAGTACAATGGCGGAAAACTTCGTAATTAGATTTAGCATTCCCGAAGCCCCTGGTTTGACGTCTCGCTTTTTTTTTGGAAGCAATTCTCGCCTGTCAGAAGCCTATTAGTCGAAAATTCCCACTGTAATCCTACAGTAACTAAGAAAAATCGTGATCCGCTCTATACGTAAATCTAAGTTGAAGCTAGCCCTACCGTATGGCACCGAAATCTGCGAAAGCTTTCCGTAAAAGAAGTAATTGAAGATCAGACGTTCAATACATTTTTTGGGGACACCCTGTTTTGCGCTTTTAAATCGCAAATCTTTTTTGACATATGGCGAGGCAAGCTGATATAACAAAATACTCAAATTGTATTTTTGAAAAGTTAACATTGAGAATGCTAATTGCTATATTTAATTGCATTCATTTTCGGTTTTTTCTTTCGAACTTACCCTTTATACCTTGTTTTTAAGTGTACAAGCAAGTTTTTGCGTGGGCTGGTCAAATCAGAAAAAATTCCCTAAGGCTTTCCGAAGTTTTCTTTTCGATTTCATGATTCTAATTCAAACTAATTCTCTTATGTTGTACGAGATACTCAAATTATATGTAATTTAGAGTACTTGTATGAAATGATCAGTTCCCCCGAACACAAACAACTTTCCCGTTTTTGTGCAACATTTACACAAATATAAGTTTGCATATAATTACTGTAGTATGTCTGTTGTGGCAAACACCACTATAGTTTATCATCACTAGGCTTTGGACATTTTGCATTTCTGACTTCGCTCACATTTATGTGCATCTAACATTTCGGCTATTCAAAGAGTACCACCAAAGTTAATGTCGTCCGTTTACATTAAGTGACATTGTCTAATCTCAAACAGAAGCACAAGTACCACCAAGATTGTTCTGAGTGTATTAGTCTGCGCTCATAATTGATATAAATTTTATTTAGACTATTGCTGCGGATTCCGAGACTTCGTCAGTCTTATTTGTGAAGGGCGGCTTTTCAATGCCTTTCAACGCTGGTCTAATTCTTCTTTTACTTTGGATAGTGCTACTGTGCTTTTCTATGATCACGTCTCCATGTCTTTTCTTTTTTCGCTATATTCAAGTTTGCAGGTGAGTTGCTAACGGACTGAGATAAAGTATTGTTGATAAATGGACGATGAAGTAGTGATCGGAGCGCTGGACCGGTTGGAATATGTTTCGGTTTCCCACTACCAATCAAGCCCGCTACTTTTTCGAGACGGTCATACCACAGTAATCTAGAAAAAATGAAATGCTGAATTAGAACTGAACCTTACAAACTACTGTCAAAATCGGTGCGCTTTCAGTAGCCTCTAATATGCAGTAAAACACTGCGTATTGAAGACGCCAAATCCTGTCTTTTGTTTACTACTGCAAACGAAGAGCGAAGAATTTGTAAGAAAGCTGGGAAAATTCTCTCATTGCATTTTTGATACCTATTTGGACTAGTATTTTCCGCATGCATCGTCAGTTTCAAATGCTTCAGAAGGCACTGGATAACATTTCACGGTGCACGAGTTCTATATATATTTCTTATACCAGTACTTTTATCCGCATCCGCTGCTTGTATGTTAGTTTTTGCTGCCTATCCTAGCGCAGAGGACATCGAAGACTTCAAAAATGTATCATATTATATCAACTCAAATGGATACAAACCATTTTTCGTATCCTCTTTAATTGTAAGTTCTCTCAAATATATAGATGTAAAATAATGCTGCTCATAGTTTAGCCTAGAAGAAAGGAGGTCATTGTCAAGTCAAGAGTGCTAATAGTGGCTTGCATAAACTTGGTATTCAATTTGATATGTGGCATGCTTGCTATGGTACTCTGCACCATCTGTATGTTGGCAGCCGTGAAGAAGGCAACAAGCAGCTCAAAGTCTATGCGCCTCCAAAACCAACTGCAAAAGCTACTATTTGTACAGGTCAATAAAACCCTTTTGAGTTTTGCTTATCTTTGAAAAAAATTGTTCTAGTTTCTTATCCCCTTCATCTGTATACAAGTGCCATTTTTCACATGCTGTCTGGGACCACTTGTGCAGCTAGAAATCACAGGAACGGACACTGGATCAGTGGCAGACTATCTACCATTTCTCTTTGCATGGCCTCCAGCATTGAATCCCGCAGCTGTTCTTTACTTCGTAAGAGACTTATGGACTCCTGTGCGACACTTTCTATTTTCTTCGAGAGTGGAACCAGTCGCTGTTAGCAAAGTTTCCATTACACAGAAGCCACCAGCAGTTACGAAATAGTTATGACTTCCTAAATTGGTAATATATTAAATCTTTGGGTATTTCTTAGTAAATTATCAGTGTCATCAGTATGCGGGTACATTGCTTGTGCAATTGCCAGTCAAATCATATTTGCTTAAGTTGACCTAAAGTTTGAAAAAGTGCAAAGGTTCATCTCGTAAACACCCTAAGCGTACCTAATGATATTGTCGAATGATTTCAAAGCATTCTCACGCGAATGTTTTTTTATCTCCAGCTTTACGTAGAGTAATTCTGCAGCGTTCTTTTCTGATCTAACATCTCCTCGCCCTTTCAACTTTATCTGTGACAACAAGAAGTAGATTGTGATATACTCTTGACCTTCAAAAGCGTTTTGAAGGATTTGGAATGCTCTTGTAAGTGATACACTGAGATACGTTGACTTTTTGAATTCATGAAGCCTGGTCCTCGCAGCATGAAGGCCGTGTCTGGGCAAAAAGTTGCTTTTGATTTTTTGTGCTTACATGGGCTTATTCGCTATTTTTTGGAAATGAATACTGGAGGACGCAAAAGCGGCGAAAAAGGGCTTGAACGCAGGAGAAAAATCAACAGATTGGCGGGGTCTTCCACTTCGTAAAGTCACTCTCCCACCTTTAGGAGCGATCTTCGCGGTTCCAATTTCAAATCATGCGTTCGAACTTGGCTTTTGGCGATGTTAGGGCTGCTAGCGGAAGCTAGAAGATTACTCCGAAACCTGGAAGAGTGACTTCACAGCGTTGAAGACTTCGCCCTTCCTGATTTCTTTCCTGCCTTAGAGCCCCTTTTTGCCTTTTCTGCGCTTTTCGTGTGGATTTTCGGATTGAGCATAGTGGATAGGCCCAGGCAAGCATAAAATCAACTCGGAAAATCAAATCGACTTCTCTCGGATACTGCTTAGAGCGAAATTAAATGAAGTTTTAACATCTCAGTCCTCTTTTCGCCTGATACTTCATGAAGGTTTTGCATGCACCTCGAGTATTGAAAGCGATTCGTCGTCGGCCTCTTTCCTCTCAAATTTTTGAATGTTAGGCGCTGCTATTGTCTGAGCGTTCAATGAAGTTAAGAAATTGGATTTTTGCTAAAAGAAATAATTGCACGTTTAGGGTCTACGTTCCTTGCACATGTCGTTGTTGATTCTAGACTGCATTCATTTGTTTGCATAATCACTTGTTCTGCTTGCACATGTATCTGATGTCGATAAACTAATAAAAACTTGCTCTTTGTTTTCATTTCCTCAACGTTAGCTCAAACTTTCCTGGGAAAGTGTGCTTGGATAATTTAGGTTCACAAAATTTGGAATACTGGCTTGGTGCTGAAATGAACGCATCAGTGATATGATGAGGATCAAAAGAAAAAATCATTTTATTTTTATGTGCTAATTTGTGGAACTTATTTTACTCAATATGCCGTTGAGACGGAAAAGCATTTACGCAATAAACTATTTTTGGGAACAGCAACTCAGACAATCGCTGGGGGCAGGCGGGCACCGGAAAACTAGATTGCTGATTTCTCGCACCCCGCTCGCGGATTTTTTGCAAAGCAATCAGGGCTTTTCGGAAGACCGCTTGCTGAGTCAGCGGATTTTTGAGAGACCGCCTGTTGAATTTTTTTTCGCTCTTATCTTTTGCAGATATATTGCTGAATCTCTGAGGAATCGAAAACTCAGCAAGCGGTCTTCCGAAAAGTCCTGATTGCTTTCCAAAAAATCCGCGAGCGGAGTGCGAGAGATCAGCAATCTATTTTTCCGGTGCCCGCCTGCCCCCGGCGATTGTCTGAGAATAAGGAAACAACATAGAAATATAACATACTAGCTGACTTACCCGGCTCCTCCCGGTCTTGTCAAAACACTATAATAAAGGTCACCACTCCTATTCCTGCACAACTTTCCCTGTGCCCACTTCCACATGCCATCCTTGTCCGCGCTTTGTTTTCGTAATCAGCATGCCCATCTACCCCCATGTGCCAACTCCCAGCCCCGTAGCTCAAACTTGTAAAAAATTGATAATTTCGATAAAATCGATATCGATTGGTGATCAAAAGTAGCTACGAGCCCCGCCCCGAAGGTATGTGTGCCAAGTTTGGTCCGCATCGGTTCAGAAATGGAGTTTTCTATTTAAAACATACGTCCACACAGCCAAACACACATTCAGTCTTATGTAAAAGATCACCAAGTTTCTGCCCGAGATGACAAAGATAATATTTTATTGAAGGGATCAGAGAAAAAATAGAAAAATAAGTAAAGTAAAAATTTCATTTGAAGTTAGCATGACAGCTTACGCCTTGTACTACTCAAATCGTTCTAATTCAAAGTTTGGAAAAATCGACAAAGTTATTAGTCATTTCTACAAACGATGTATACTTGTAATCAGTACTTACTTATCTCCCAATGCCAGCTTTCAGCCCCAAGTACACACACACACACATACACATACACACATACACACATGTAGACTGCTGCATGACGAAGGCGCAATATCTTCGGGCGCGAACGCGGCTTTATTAGCCGCAGAGCGCATGAGGCGCTGGATCTACAGCGGTGAGGATACGCGTGCGTCGCGTTTGCTCCCGCTTGACTAATATACTGCGCCTTCGTCATGCAGCAGCCTTTACACACATACACACACACATATACACACATACATACATATACACATACACACATACATACTATACCTGGGGCCAATTCGAAAATGATTATTCGATAATTCGAGTAAATCATTCGAATGCGAGTGATTCGAAAAGTCGAATATTCGAAAATCTGAGATTTAAAAATCGAAACGAATATTCGAAATTTTCAGTCTTCGATATATTCGATATTCAAATATTCGAAAATTTCAACTTTCGAATATTATTCGAAAGTCGAATATTTGATGGTCAACAACTCATCAATTCGATCATTTGATGGTTCGAATAATCGAATCATTCGATGAACATCGAATATTTGAATATTCGATAACTGTCGAATGATGGAAATCCATAAGCATAGCAAGTCACTGTAGGAGTTTCTATCAAGCTACAGCCCCCAATGGGGATTGTACATGTTTTGTAGTCCTGGCGCAGTAGTCTCTATAGTAATCGTGATGCGCCATTTCTGTCGCAGTATGAAGCTTCTCTCGATTTTTTCGCTATCCAGCGACGCCAGGATTTTGATGGTTCTCTCTAACACTTTCTTCATGAGCATCATTGAGTAAACTTTTGAACTTAAACTTGGACTTCAAACTTTTAGACCCAAACCGTAAAATTTTATGACCCCAAAAGTGAAAAGTGAAAATTGAGTATTATATTCGTAATCAACGCACCGGATAACGCCCTGGACCCAGGCTTTACAATTCAAAATTTTGTAGATACTGGCGCACCACGACACTCCCCTCCCCGAATCATGCCTGCTGAAAGTACGAGCAAAATGTACTCCGGAGGACTTTTTAGCTGCCCCTCTTCTTTTGTACACTATTTCTCTTCCTCTGCCCAAGCTCATATCTCTGACAAGGGAAGTGTGTTTAGGCGAAGTGGCGTTTTTAGTTGAACTCATATCATTTTGGAAAGCGTTGCATGGTGGCTCCAAATCTGCCTTCCTTATCTGCCAAGCGACTCCGGACGCCGAGTTATGACCGTTTTTTGGAGCTAAAAATGCAAAATTCAGGTAAAAACGATTGTTATATTTCCACCGCTTAGATAGAGCATAAGTATTAGCATATTACACAAAACGTATGCATTGCATAAACTGCTCTGATACTCGACACCGGACCATTTGAGCAAATGTGGGCATTTTGCGCGTTTTGCGTTCAACTTTTGAGAGCTGAAAAACGTTCATAACTCGGCGTCTAGAGCCGCTTGGCAGAATGAAGGCAGATTTGGAATCACTGTGCAGTACTCTCCGAAGCAGTATGGGTCTCATCTGAAAAGGATACTTTGACTACACACCTCCCTTGTGAGTTCCGCGATAGACTGTAAAGCGCACCAAACTTAGAGTTATCGCAAAGCACAGCAGCGCGTTTGGTGGCGCTGTTCCTTGTGCGCGAAACGATTTTGATAATGTTTTTTCACTATGAGTAGACTACCGGTTACAGAGTCTTCTGCCATATCATCGCTTTCTAGATTTGGTCCATTCAAACACTTGTTGAGGGGTTAAAAAAGATGCGCGTTGGCCTAGATATTACCACAGTCGATCAAGAGGCCGGATACGACCCCCCCCGCCCACCTTCTGTCTTTATATACCCCCCCCCCCCGCCTCCATCTTCTGTCTCAATGTCTCATCCACCCCTTCACCATCAGCATTATCGTTTGCCTTCCATAGGCATGGTATAAAGGTCTACTAATAGGTACATTTTCGCAATTATCATGTCAAATAGCCCCATGAGCCAAGTTTTAGCAGATTCTGGGGGTTCCCAATATTGAACCACACAAGTGAAGTGGTCATTTTCTAACATGATTAACTATATTTGACAACTGAATTAACTAGCTCTTTTTGTGCTTAGTACAAAGCAGTACTCCATATTTATCTACTTCATGAATCCTGCTTCAAATAACCATCAAATTATAGAGTTAAAAATAGGCCAAAATCTCGTTTGTCTAATTTCCGCTTCCGATGGCTGCTCTTTCATCAGCTTTTACTCAGAGAGAAGAAGAGATGAGTCAGGCCCAAATTACTCCTATGGAGACTGCAATATTCAGGCCATCAAACTATATGCATTTTGTTCACTAAAATTCTTTTCGGAGGCAAGTTAATGGGGTGTGGCACAACCCCTAAAAAGCTGTGGCTGCAAGAGCTTTTTAGGGGTTGTGCCACAGCATTAACTTATCAAAGCCGAATCTATGTCTTTTATACTTGGTTGCTACTGCTAAAACTTCTTCTCCACATAGCAGGAATTTCATTCAAATTGTTTTTCCTAGAAAAAGATATAGTCGTTTTTCCTATCCAAGCAATTAGAAAACACTGCGAAGATATTGGATTACGGTAATGCGCTGAGTTCGCGCTACTACGTAAATCGCGAGGGAAGGCGGCA